AGAAGTGCGGGCCCCCATGCTGGCCCAGGCGTTAGACGAGGCCCTTCAGCCTGCCCTGCGGTACGTGAACTACAAAAAGCTGAGGGTGTTCTCGGGCGGCGATCCTCCAGGACCCGAAGAAGAAAACTTTGAATCCTGGCTGTTCCATACCACCCAAATGATGAAGACCTGGCAGGTGTCGGATGCCGAGAAGAGAAGGCGGTTGCTAGAGAGCCTTAGAAGCCCAGCCTCTGATGTCATCCGTGTCCTCAAGATAAGCAACCCTTTAATTACGGTCCCCGAATGCCTGAAGGCTCTTGAGCAGGTTTTTGGGGTTATTGATAATCCTAGGGAGTTGCAGGTCCGATACCTGAGGACTTACCAGAAGGATGGAGAAAAGTTGTCCGCTTACATACTCAGGTTGGAGCCTCTGTTACAGAAACTGGTGGAGAGAGGAGCAATGGAGAGAGAAGTTGTGAATCAGGCCCGACTCGACCAGATCCTGGCCGGAGCAGGGGACAAAACACTGCGCCGGCGGCTCCCTCTGCCCGAGGATGGCTCAGCCCCTGGCTTGTTGGAGCTACTGGAGCTGGTAAAGGGTGAAGAGGCGACGGAGGCAGAGGAGGAGGAGGCCCTTCTCCAGGCAGAATTATTAGAGGGACATTTCACCTGAATCTTAGGGAACCAGAAAGGGTCAGTGACAGTGAGCAGAGCATGGAGGTAGAATAATCCATACACTACAGTGGTAGACATTCACCAAGCCCTACCTTGTGATACCAAGTAACTCATGTTTGCACAGTTCTCAGTACAAATCCATTGTCATTTGTGTGCCTCCTTAAGGTCTCCTAAGTGTATCATTGACTAGGAAGACTGTAGTTCTGCACTGGTATTTATATATTTAAATTCATTCTGGTGAGTTTTTTATCATACAAAACTGTACAATAGTCTGTCACTGCATATGTGCACTGCTCAAAACTACCAAGTTCTATCACTGCATATGTGCACTGCTCAAAACTACCAAGTTCTATCACTGCATATGTGCACTGCTCAAAACTACCAAGTTCTATCACTGCATATGTGCACTGCTCAAAACTACAAAGGTCTGTCACTGCATATGTGCACTGCTCAAAACTACAAAGTTCTATCACTGCATATGTGCACTGCTCAAAACTACAAAGTTCTATCACTGCATATGTGCACTGCTCTGAGAGGAAGGCAGGGGTAAGACCTGATCTTACGGAGATGTCAGCTTGTGTGGTAGCAGGTGCAAGTGTAGCATGTCAAATGTGATTATGTATCAGCTTGTAGTGTCTGTTGCCCTCCATTTATCATGATTGTGAACAGTGGTTAAGATACTTTCTGTGTGAACCAGAATTTTGTTGATTCTGTGCAATCAAAACAAGAGACAGAACTAAATGCTGAGGTTAACTTTGCAGCTTCCATCTCTAACCTCAGGTTCCTGATGTGCATCGTCATACATCTACTTCTGAATATCATTTTAATAGGTATTATAAAATTATAAGTATGACCTTATAAAATAAAGGAATGCTGGTAAAATGACCTCTTTTATCTGTTTGGTTTATATCAAATTTCTAAAAGAAATTTCAAAAGTGTGAATCTGAAAACCACTTAGTCCCTAAGTAAGATTGCTGGAGGGAGCTCCTGAAGCACATGGAATGAAACAGGACAGTACACAAGTTAGTGCACATAGCAGGTGAGTACACTGATACATCAGTGCTTTGGTTTGAATGGTTTCCCAGCTAATAAGTACAGGGACAAGATTTACAATCAGGCTGTCTATTTCCAGAGTCCTTGCTCTTAATCTATTCTATGCTGCCTGGTTATTCATAGAAGCCTGTAAGAAACACGATCATTGCTCCTGTATTTAGTTTTTTGGTTAATCCTCACCCAAGGATATTTTTCCATTGACTTTAGAGAGAATGGAAAGGGTTGGGGGAGAAAGAGAAACATCAATGTGAGAGAGACACATCGTTAGGTTGCCTGCAACCCAGATACATGCCCTTGACCAGGAATCGAACCCGAGACCCTTCGGTGCATGGACCGACGCTCTAACCACTGAGCAACTGCCGAGCAGTTGTTTTACAGATGACAGCCTTGAGGCTCAGAAAGCCTCAGAGCTAACGGCAAGGGCACATAATCTGACTCCCAAGAGCTTTTTTTTTTAAATTTTAATATTTTTAAAAAATATTTTCTTTGCTTTTTAGAGAGAGAAGAAAGGAGAAAGATAAACATCCATGTGAGAGCAGCACATGTGAGAGGGGAACATCGATTGACAACTCGGGCATGTGCTCTGATGGGGAATGGAACCAGCAACCTTGCAGTGCACAGGTCAAGGCCCAACCAACTGAGCCCCACCTGCCAAGGTCTGAGAGCTTTGCTTAAGGTGCATTTGGTAAACCCTACATCATTGTCAAACATTAAAAATGGCAGTTGTGTTTATGAAGTTATGTGGAATAATAAAAAAAAAATGTTCTTTAAAAGCTATGTTTGCCTGGCTGGCATGGCTCAGTGGTTGAGCGTTGACCTGTGAACCAGGAGGTCACAGTTCAATTCGGGTTTGTGGGCTCAGTCCCCAGTGGGGGGCATGTAGGAAGCAGCCGATCAATGATTCTCTCTCATCATTGATGATTCTATCCTCCCTTCTCTGAAATCAATAAGAAATTATATATATGTATATAATTTTAAAAGCCATGTTTCAACATGAATGACAAAACCCTAAAATACTCTAACTAGTTGTGTTGAGATGATGGGATTATAAGGCTGGGTTAGTTTTTTATGTTTCCTAAATATGTTTTTTAAACAAATAAATATGCAAAGAAGGTAGGTGCTCAAGAAGGAAGTTGGCATTTTAAAGGATACAGGAACCAGCCTGAAAGAGTTCCCACTGGTGAAGCAACAAATTTGAGCAACGAAACTGAATTATAACTCAAAATTGTATTTTAACCTAAATTATAAAACAAATGTCTACAATTTCACGCTGAATGAATGAATGAATGACACTATTCTAATATAAAATAGTCATTGAAATACATACATAAATACTTACATGCATACATATGCAAGCAAATAAATGACCTGGGATGTCAGCCAGTGAAATAAGTGAAAAACTAGAGGGCCTCCTTTTTCCTAAAAACGGGTTATTCATTAAAACACACACATACACATACACACACACACACTCAAACAAAATGCTTATTCATCTAAACACCACTAGGTGGCGGTAGGCACTCAGGTTAGGCCTCCCCCAGACAAAGCAGGGAAAAGGATTATTTCTTATATAAATGGCATCATGCCTGCCCCTACTCAAAGACTGGAAAATTTCTTAAGTCTTTATGTGGAAAAATACTGAAGTACTCGCTCGATGTTGGACAGTGACTTCCTCTTTGGTCCCTGACACTTCTAGAATCTTCTAATCAGCTTGTCAGAGAAGCCTGGCATTGGTAAATAGACTGATCTGTCTATATAAGTGAGAACATTCTTTTTTTAAAATATTTTTATTGATTTCAGGGAAGAAGGGAGTGGGAGAGAGAGAAACACCAATGATGAGAGAGAACCATTGATTGGCTGCCTCCTGCACACCCCACACTGGGGATCAAGCCCGCAACCTGGGCATGTGCCCTGACTGGGAATCAAATCCTGACTGACCTCCTGGTTCAGAGGTCAACGCTCAACCACTGAGCCATGGCGGTTGGGCCAAGTGAGAACATTGTTAATCATGCCACTTCACTCCCAGCCAGAGCATTTCATAACACTGGAAACTAGATGGTTTCAGAGCTCAACTTCTGAAAGTCTGTTATTCCAAAGAAAATGACATTTAGGTCAAAAGTACTCATTAGGGGGGCAGGAGTGGCGGGGGCGGGGGGGGGCATCAATTGGGGAAAAGGGAGACATGTAATACTTTAAACAATTAAAAAATAATGATAAAAAAATAAAAAATACTCTTTAGCTGTTACGGGTTTCCCACACACTCTCCTGCCTCTGCTACCAGCAAGCCTAACTCTGCTTTTAGAGGTGTTCATTTTTTTATGTATACATGGGTTACCATATGAACTGGACCAGTTTATTAACTGGTTTAACTCACCCTAGCCAGTTTGGCTCAGTGGTTGAGTGTCCACCTATGAACCAGGAGGTCATGGTTCAATTCCCCAACAGGGCACATGCCCCATTGTGGGCTCGATCCCCAGTAGGGGTCATGCAGGAGGCAGCCGATCAATAGTTCTCTCTCATCATTGATGTTTCTATTTCTCCCTCTCCCTTCCTCTCTGAAATCAATAAATAATATATATATTAAAAATAATTTAATTCAGGGAGAGGTAAGTTGAGAGTCAAAAGGCTGTGGTCTAAAATAATAGAATATCACCGATGAGCCAGGTGAGGCTCAGAGAAGGAGAGTGGCTTGCTCAACTACACACAGCCAGTTAGTGACAGATCAAACTTGAACCCAAATCTGAGCCTGTCTCTGGCTTTCTCTATGACCTGAAGTAATGGCACTTATTCCTCTTGGACTTCAGTTTACTTACCTACAAAATCTGTGGTCCCTTTTAAGCTTTAAAACTGTGTGACTTAAAAGATCTGTCTTTATTTGAATACTAGAGGCTCGGTGCACAAAAATTTGTGCACTCGGGAGGGTCCCTCAGCCCGGCCTGTGCCCTCTTGCAGTCTGGGACCCCTCAGGGGATGTCCACCTGCTGGCTTAGGCCCACTCCCTGGGGGATTGGGCCTAAGCTGGCAGTCAGACATCCCTCTGGAAGCCCGGGAGCCCTCGGGGGATGTCCACTTGCCAGTGGGGAGCAGGCCTAAGCTGCAGTCGGACATCCTTAGCGCTGCTGAGGTGGGAGAGGCTCCCACCACCACCGCTGTACTGGCAGCCATCAGCCTGGCTTATGGCTGAGCAGAGCTCCCCCTGTGGGAGCGCACTGACCACCAGGGAGCAGCTCCTGCATTGAGTGTCTGCCCCCTGGTGGTCAATGTGTGTCATAGTGACCAGTCATTCCCAGTCGTTCTGCTGTTAGGGTCAATTTGCATATTACCCTTTTATTATATAGGACTAGAGGCCCAGTGTGCAGATTCGTGCACTGGTGGGGTCCCTCAGCCTGGCCTGCGGGGATTGGGATGAAACTCACTCTCTGACATCCCCTGAGGGGTCCTGGATTGCGAGAGGGCGCAGGCCAGGCCAAGGGACCCCACCGGTGCACTATCGGGGCTGGGGAGGGCCACGGGAGGGCTCCAGGGCATGTCCCATCTCGCTCAGTCCCGATTGGCCAGACCCCAGCAGCAAGCTAACCTATTGGTCAGAGCATCTGCCCCCTGTGATCAGTACACATCATAGCGACTGGTCAAACACTTAGCATATTAGGCTTTTATTATATGGGGTTCTTCATATAAAAACTGACTTTTAAGTTCTTAATATGCCTACTATTTGTCACTTAACATGTGTTCCCAAATATTATCCGGGTATCTTTTAAAAAATGTGTTTTCTAACTCCCTGATAGATTTTGTTCCCCTTGATATCAAGGCTTATATATATCTTCATATAAGCCCAACATGGCATTCCACATTTGAAAGGTAATATTTCTTAACTAATTAGTAAGATGTGCCTTATCTATATATATAAAAGCCTAGCAACCGTTACAGTGGAACCACCAGAACGACCGGTCACTATGACATGCATTGACCACCAGGGGGCAGATGCTCAACGCAGGAGCTTCCCCTTGGTGGTCAGTGTGCTCCCACAGCAGGAGCACTGCTCAGCCAGAAGCCAGGCTCACGGCTGGTGAGCACAGTGGCGGTGGTGGGAGTCTCTTCCACCTCCACAGCAGCGCTAAGGAGTGGCAAGCCAAGCGGTAAGGAGCCAGCAGGCGGGTTGTAAGGAGCAAGGGGTCCCAGATTGTGAGAGGAATGTCTGACTGCCGGTTTAGGCCCGATCAGACATCCCCTGAGGGGTCCCGGATTGTGAGAGGGCACAGGCCGGGCTGAATGACACACACCCCCACACACACCCCTGAACCCCCTGTGCACAAATTTCGTGCATCGGGCCTGTAGTTATATATAATAATCAGCATGGCTATCATTTGTTAAACTCTTCCTATGTGCTAGGCATGTTGCTAAATGCTTTCCCTATATTACCTCATTTAATTTTAACTGCAGGCCCTTGTGCATGTATTACTATTCCTGATTTCAAGTAAGGAAGCAGACCTTTGGCTAGGTAAAGTGTCCCTGCCCGGAGTCACACAGCTAGAAGCGACGAAGAGCTGTCTGGTTCCAGAGCCAGTGCCTTAACCACTGTGCCAGACGGCCTCCAAGAGTGTCTTGGCTCTGAACCAAACCACTTCAACAGTGGGTCTGCCAGTTTCTGACTGTATAACCTGTGAGCCTCTGTATCACCATTGCCCACTCTCTCCCTCCAAAATTAAAGACTAACACAGCCCGGATTATGCTGCCACGGAGACCACGCTGTCGGCCCCCACCCAGCAACCATAGTCCTCTTCCTCCTTTGTATCTAAAGCCAGATTTGTTCACCCACTTTACAGAACTGCGAA